CGACAGATTCTTGACCCGGTAACAAATCTTCCGCAGGAGATGGGTGATCCGGTGACAAATCTTTCAAAATACAACTTAACCGATAGCGAGCATGATGCTCTAGTTAATGGATTAAATCATGTATATCCACCTGAAAAACTCGATCATCAACCACAGTTCGTATGCAATATGGAATATTTTTATGCACGCCTTTTAAATATACGAACTGTTTATCGGCATTACGAACAGAAACCATCTACTGAAGCTGTTCGTCACCAATTAACATCAGTACAATTGAGTGCTGCATCTGAATTACGTGAGACAGCGAATTCTTTTCGAAAAGTTGCCAATCTGAACTGAAGAAAATTGGTGCCGAACATAGTAAAACTTTTAGTACTCTTCGTTCTCTCGCTAAAAATAAATCGATCATTATTACCCGACCTGACAAGGGACGTGACGTGGTTATCATGGATCGTGCAGATTATGTACAAAAAATGAATGCAATACTCGATGATCGATCTGCTGTTACCTTAATCAATCACGATCCAACCTTAGGTACTGAAAATGAACTAATTAAGTTTCTGTTTGTCTTTAAAAAAGAATGTTTTATTAGTGATCAGGAACACAAGTTGGCATCCCCCAGTGGATCAAGACCAGCTCGAATATACGGTGTACCTAAATTACATAAGAAACGAGAGAACTATCCTCTTCGACCTGTAATGTCAGCTACAAAAACAGTAGCTTATGGACTCGGTAAAATGTTGGCTAATCGATTGAATACACTTCGTACAAGCCCATATATGATCAAAGATAGATTTGATTTTGTTCGAAAAATCAGAAAATTAGAACTTGGAGATAAAAAAGTGATCTCGTTGGATGTTACGAACCTCCTTACTAAAGTTCCACTGACCTATACTATTGACTTGATACTCGATAAAATGTACCCTACGTGTTCTTCCATATGTAAATATAAACAAAGAAGTCGTCTTTGTGGGAAGTGCAGGAATAGATCGGATTTTCAACATTTTCTTCAATTAGCTACATCAAAAACTCACTTCATTTTCGATAAAAAAATGTACTTTCAACATAACGGTGTTGCAATGGGTGCTTTTCTGCCTCCAATAATTGCCGACATTTTTATGTCACATCTCGAGGAGAGTTTGATGGATCACTTGAAGCAAATTGGTGTTTGTGAGTGGTATCGATATGTCGACGATACATTTGTACTTGTTGAACCTACAACAAAAGTAGAAAATGTACTCGAAATTTTAAATAATTTTCATTCATCTATCACTTTCACTCATCAACTAGAAACAAATGGCTCTCTTCCTTTTCTCGATGTATGGGTTACGCGGTCACCTGAAACCAAGAAATTTCAAACAGCTGTCAATCGAAAAGAAACATATACTGGTCTAATGATAAAATGGAATTCCTTTGTACCTGTAAGTTACAAAAATGGTAGCATTGTAACAATGATACACAGAGCTCTAGCTACATATTCTACATACTCGTCATTAGCCACTGGATTCGAGAATATTCGTCAAATCGGTCTCCATAATGGTTATCCATTATCGTTTCTCGATACTCGAATAGGCATCGGATTAAGTAGACACTTGAAGAGATCTGCTACACCCGGTACCACGATTGTCAGCTGCGAAAAAAAAAGATGTATATTGAAATTCCTTATACTGGTTCAGCTGCTGGTTCATTTAAAAAGAAATTATCTCGAATCGCTGGAAAAATTCGTCCCGATCTTGATGTTCGCTTTTTCGCCAGACCTCCTCCATCGGTTCAAATATTTTTCAACACAAAGAAGACAATACCAAAATACTTGCAATCCGACATCGTTTATTCCGTTAAGTGTAGCGACTGTGGTGATATATATGTCGGTGAAACAGAGAGCCAAGCCATAAGACGACTACGGGAACATGGAGCACCTAAATCGCTGTTCCAAGAACAATTAATGTACCTTGATCAAAGCACCACTACAAACTACGAAGAAGAAGATACTAATGAACCATCAGCTATCGAACCAACTCGAACGAAAGATCAATATCTAAAGAGAACGACACGAATTAGACCCACACCCTATCCGAATCCAGAAACGTTAAGACGCCCTACCAGCATTCTCCAGAAAAATCAAACATCAAGCCATACAAAAATCAACACCAACCTACAAAAAAACAAAACCGACAATAAAAACTAAAATAACGAAAATAAAACAAAATCCAATGAAAGCTCAATATCTCGTCATCAAAAACAAACCGGACACCATATGGATTGAGAACGCTTTAAAGTTGTATGGCAAGATAGTAACAGCTACAAATTACTAGTAAAAGAATCTTTAGTAATCAAAGTATATGGAACAAAATTAAACCAAACTATACACTCGGTCCCGATGCTCGTTTTTCCCGAAGGTCTACCTCCCGATACAATCCCAGACCCAAATTCTACAACTTAACAGTTTCTCAAGAATATATTAAAAACAATTTCATTTATTTTATCTACCTAATCACGTCGTGTCGATGAGCTCAAATATTAACAAAAGCTTCACGTCGTACTCGTAACACATCTACGGTACTCGGTTATGTCTTGAAAATGAACATTTAATAGTTCGAAACGTCGAAATAATCTAGAAATAAAGAAAAAGCTGATTGAATAAAAATTTTCACCACTCGTTTATTTCATTGTATTTGAAGTGGAGACACATTTTCTCATTTCAAATATCTTGCACAAATAGTTCTTGCAATTCCAGCAAAATCTACATCAAGTGAGCAAGTTTTCTCTACAACCGGTTTAATTATCAATGCTAAACGAACAATGTTATCACCAGAAAATGTTGCTAAAATACAAAATGATTCATGATAATTATAATGTACTTAAAAAGACATAAAGTTTTTCTTTTTTTTTCTTTTCTAATTTTTCTAGTCTTTTATTTTTTCGTGAACTTGTTTTTGTTATTGATTGTTAAGCTCAATATTATTTTTGTACTTTATCTGTGGAACAAAGATAAACAATACAGGTATGTCATATAGTTTTTTGAAAATTTTAACAATTCGATATCGAAATAAAGACTTTTCTCTAGAACGAATATTTCAGTATTAAATTTTAGCTGTCGTTGCTATAGGCATGAAAAAATTTTGAAATTTATAGCCGTCGCCGCCAAGAGACCTACAGATTCAAATCAACAGCCGCTGAACATTTTAGAAAAACAGATTTCTTTTTGCAAAGGCCGATGTTCGACCTCTCGGATTACACCTCTACCCACGCCCCACAGTTTATTATAATTAACTCTCGTCTATAAGACGTTTCTTGACGAATTCATATAAAAATTACAAAATTATTCTACATGAGTTTAAATGTTCTTTATCAGCTGATAAAAAAATATTCATAGTGTTCTACGTTATACATATTACTAGATAACATTATATTTGAATCTAATGATGAATCATTTATGGACTCAGTTCACTCAACATATAAATAGAAAGAGCGAAAATAATTGAAAATGAAAAATAAAAATTTGTTTTAAACTAGTTTTGATAGCTGCGATACAAAATAGAGGTCGAAATATAATGCTTTCTTCAAACAACAATTTATTGAACAAAATTGAAACAAATCATACAGTGTTCATTCAAGTTGCATTATTAGTTTTTCCTTATTCTCATCAAATGTATACATTACAGATGAATGAATCAAGGATTTTTCATCAATTACTATTTTTAAATCATTGATAGTTAGCATTTATTGACAAGTGAAAGACAGATATTGTTGCACTTGCTTTTCACTCGATCGACTACAATAAATACAAAAGGAGAGAAACACGTCATTTATCGTTTCTATTTTTATTGTGTGTATCTTCACACTCGTCTTTTTATATTCGTTCCCATGTGCAATGATTATATTTTGCAAGTAAATTTTGTCCTCATTGCTCTCTCTCTCCCATTCATCTTTAAGAAATCCATTCAACGCTGCGGTGAGTTTCATAAGACCATTCCTATTACGAAGATGAATACGAATATTATTACAGTCAATTTCGTGTTGACTTCTTAAGGCACTAAGAGACATACTATTGCATGAGTCGAAAAATATTGAGGTGTTCAACTTTGATTATGCTGCAAAAGAGCAGTAGTGGGTAAAGGAAACATCTAGCTTAGTTGATTTTATGGCAGTAGAGATGGGTAGAGCTGCATGCTTTATCCATTCTTGACTTTTTCTAGCCGCTTTATTCGAAGGAAAATTTAGGATCAATGTTTTTTCTTCGTCAACAAAGTAGCCTTCGTACTAATTAATGACAATCGGATTGTATTTCAAAAGATAAAGATAGGAAACAAAAATCAAAATATTCGAATTGTTCCAAAGTTTATCATAATAATTCCTAAAAGTCTTATCACTATGAATAGTCAATATAATTCTTAGTTCTCAACACCATGTTGTTTTGCTGATTGCGATATTTTAATGAAAATGCATGCTGTTGAACACTACGGATTATAACAAGTATTGATAATAGCAAGTTTTCTATGAAGATTAATGAGGTATATTAGAGGCCTGGTTCCAATCTATCTAATTTGCTCATCTCCAAAGTATTAGTTTTGATTCTTTTCAAGAACTATATTATCCTCTGATCATTATCAATTTGCAGTCTTTGTGATTGGTTATTGAAGTAATAGTAGATTTTGCAATATCTTCAAAATCTGCCAATATTTGTTCAAAATATGTCTGGAAATAAATTACGCCTATATGTCTATTACTTTCTCATATTCAAGTTGAGTTTAGCTGTATTCTATTTGTTTCATCGTTTGACACTTAATCAACCATCAAACTATTTGTACAAGGAAAAATGTATCCTAAGTACTATTTCAAGTTTTTTCAATATATTCGTGCTTTACTATCACTTTTCGCATGCACCACACCCAAAATACGTCATATTGATCTGTCGTCGAATTTCTATCTACGTTCACATTATTTCGGGTTCGCTTGAATTTATTACATGTTGGGCAGCGTTTTGTATCAGTAGTGAACGCATGGCTACTATTGCTGCTTTATCAGCTATTCTTGGTCATGTACCTTCATCCTATTATCAAGCATCGATTGCCTTCGGTGCTAAAGCATTGATGGTTGCTGCGTATTTATTTGCTATTTCACTTCATCTGTTCTGTGCACTACACGTCCTCATCGAACCAAGTTCAATCTATTGGCTACTGAATATGTTTCTCGTTCACAATACTTATGTCTGGTGTCGAGTACTTTATTTCTTATTCGACTTTGCAGGTTTATTCAAAGAAACGCTCTATACAAACACTATTCTAATTTCGGGACTCATTCTCTTCCCAGGTGTGCTCGGTGTCTCAGCCAATATGTTATTCTTAGGCTATGTAGCAACTAGTATTCTGCTTTATTTTGTTATTGTTCAGCCCAATGAAGAAGAACGTGCTCATTTCGTTAGTGAGCATACACGTGATCTTCTTGTCAATCGAACTGTTCATGATGCGTGGATAAAAGAAAAGGCTCACCTGATGAAAATGAAGGACGATGGTCAGGTAACTGATCAACAATTAGCAAAACAAGTATTTGACCAATTAGATAAGAACAAAAATGGAATAATCGATGGCGATGAAATCGTATATCTACTCAGAGAATGGGATGTAGCGAAGAGTTTCATCGAACGGTTTTTGCGTTTCTCGAAAAAACGTGAAATATCATTTAAGATTTTCTATAGAAATGTTTGGCGTCTAGGCGAAATGGCTACTACTTATGTTCAAGAAAGTCAAAAACGTGAAGACAAAGCGAAAGCACGCTTTCTCTTTAATGATTTAGATACCGATTCGAGTGGTTACATTGATGCAATTGAATTACAAAAACTCTTGATTCAATGGGGTCTACCAGAAAACGAAGTCGATGCTTATCTTGCCGAGGATGACGATAAACGTTTTTCATTTGAAGAATTTTACCAAAATCTAAAACCAATTTGGAATTTTGCTTATGAGCACATGAAAGTACAAGATGTTCCTTAAGTGATGCAGCCATCGTATCGTGACCATTCGAGTTAAGTGTCGAAACAAAAACTTCGAATATTACTAGAGACTATTGAATATTTTATAAACTACATACCGTATTTTGAAGTCATATGTATTTAGTTCTTTCTTTTCAAAATATCAATCTAGTAAAATCAAATGAGAATGTGGGTGGGTGTGGAGTGTGGCTGTGGCTGTGGATGTGAGGGTATGTTTTATTCTATGACACTCACACCCACATCCTGCTGATTCTAACATGACTTCAAATTTCGACAACTGTTTCGGGTGGAAAAAGTCACCTGTCTGCTCCTTCTCTTTTTGCGATGGTTTCGAACTGTCCAGTCCGACTCATTTCACTGGCTTTAGTAGCTGGTTGAGTTTTGTTGATGCTCTGAGTTGACTGATTCTATGCATCCTTCTCGACAGGATTAGTTAACAATTGCCCGGAAGCCTGTTTATGCAGTCGAAAATTATGAAATGAATCCAGTTAGTCCATTAAAGACTTTCAGAAAATCTGCTTTGTATTTATAAAATTGTGAAGCTAATCCTGCTGCTCCGTTACAAGCTGCTAAAACCTAAACAACTGATTGTAGAAGATGAAGTCCGTTCGGTCAGATATACTAAGTAGCATACGCAAGTAGTGTTTTGGCGTTCGGTTCCACATGATTTTGTGTAATTCTGTGTTATCTCGACATTTGGAATCAGCTCTTTCCGTATTGTCACTACCACACGAATCGTTTTTTTTCGTCCCAAGTATTGTTTTAGTAATTATTTTGTACTTATTCTTAGCTTACTGAAAGTGCTGTCTACAGTCTTCTAGTAACCTCCAATTCCAATGTTACATCTTTTGACGACAACAAAATACATGCTAAGAAAAGTAATGATGTACTTGGCAAAGTTGCTTTGGTAGCCAATCAAACTACATCACAACTGATCGAAGACTTTATGTGGCCTTGTAAACCAGGAGCAGTGGCATGTTTTATGCGAAACCGATGAATACATGACATGGTTTGATTTAAAAAAAAAGATCAAATTAGAGTCAATCGCAATCAACTCATAATCGTCGTTATTTATAGGGTGTGGGGAGAGAAGACATCAGAAAATAACTCTTAGTGGAACTATACTTGCACTCACGCGTTTAGTTTACGGCTCTTTATCTTTTTAATCTTTGAGTTTTTTCGTATATGGATGTGAGGCTTTGGTTTCACTTCTAATTACATCTATAGCTATAGGTCTACATTCAACCCATACCCATTTGTCCAGATTCTTTTCATATACGAATCCATTCAGCAATATTAGAACCCGCAAAGATGGCAATCACCTCCACACCCATATTCTCACAAGAAATCAAATTAAAATACTGGGATTCTCAGTATAATATTCATTTATTTAGGTTGTTATTTGATTTTAACTAATTAAACAAAAGAAATTCAATGTAACATTTTCACATATATATCACAGTTGATATGCCAATTCCAGTTGAGATCAGAACGCACGAAAAAAGATATTTTCTTAATATCTATAATGAGAATAAGGCTTTAAGAATCAGATGCAGTGATTGATATAAACAAGAGATCATATAGTTAAGTCGCATCAAAACTTCATATACAAAAAAAGAACTCTTTTTTTGTTTCAAGATAAAGAAAGAAAACAAAAACAAAAAAATCTGCAAGAACAAAAGGTTCTGAGACACTTTGTTTTATTCACCCATGAAATTTTCTCTAAGTGCAAGCAGTACTATTGGAGAGGCCTTACAAAAAATTAAGCATAACTGATACATTTCGATTATTGAAATCATAGAGATTCAATTGTTTCTATAGAATAATCTTTTGCTGAAAAATGTTAACGATCATTAATATTTTCCAGTAAAAGACTGTCCTAAAGAAACTACTGAATTTCTATGATTTTAAAAATCAAAACATATCGGTTATGCTTGAGTTTCATAATAAACCTACTTTTCTTAGAGTGTGCAATTATGTGAAGGAACGATATTGTGTTGGGTCTTTGAATTTGAAGCACTTCTCGACAGAAAATTCTACAAGCTATGCCTCTTGCCTTCCTCATTTTTCTCTCACATGAGAAAAGTATATACCTCGTTCCGGATAGCAGCTGTTTTTCAAAAGATGTTGTCAATTGTTCTAGTATCAAACATTGTCTTTCAAGAAAAAAAAATATGAGTCAGGCACTACATTGCAAAGAATTGTTTCGTAAGCAGCTGCTTTTGAAGGAAAAAGTTTTTTTTGTTTCTTCCATGATATTCTACACAAAAAGTACTCACCCAACAAATACCTACACTTACACCCCACTCTATAAAGGTTTTTACACCATATAATAGTTTGAGTCGAATGAAAAGATTGTCTGTGATTAACAATACTGACTGTAAAAACATCATTCTCACCATTCCTATTGCGAGTGAGAAAATCGATTTTTATTCGGAAATGTGGCGCATGAAGACGAGTCAAGTATCTATACTTGGAGCATGTATATTTCTAGGACAGCGCATCAATTTGGATTGAACTTTTCAAATAAATTCTATCTTAGATGAATCTATCTACTGAATAGAATCTTAAGTCTAATGTAATTTATTTTTTGTTTATTTCAAGCTATTAATCTTTAAAGTGGAGATATTTGTGCTACCACCATAAAAAGTAATCATGATCACCCATAATTTTACTCGACAGTCTTAATGATTTAAATAACATCAATATTCTTGCAAACCATATATTTCCTGTGGTTTGAATACGTAATGTTAACAAGTCATGAATATCATTATGTTTTGATAGTAAACATTTTATAGTCGATATAAAGTCATCTTGAGAGACTTTGATAGAAAGATGTTGCACACGAGGACAAAGTTTTACAAATAATTTAACTTCTTCAAACGTACACATCGATTTAAGTGTCAGATCCTTCATTTTATTTTTGTTTGATATCACTTGAAACAGTGAATTATCTTTTAATGATACACCATCGATTTCATTTAGTAATAGAGAATGAAGTATTAATTTAGAACAATTCTGTGCAGAACATAATATTTTGATCACGATATCAAAAGAAAAGTGCTCACAGTTGATAATTATTTTTTGAAGTTTTTCTAAAAATACAATACGATTGAGAATAGTTGTAATCGAATCACAAGGTATATATTCATCATCAGAAATGGTAAGTTCATCGGCATTTGAGAAATAGATCGAACAATTATCAATTGCTGATTGATTTTGAATATGAACATGACGAACTAAAGGAAAATCGTTTGTAGTATGATTTGTGTCATCGGTTTGATCATGTTGGCTCGATAATATGTAGTCTGTTCTCCTTGAAAAAATAGAAATAAAATCAATATTGTAAACCAAAAACAAAAGAGCTTATTTTATTTTTAAATACCTGCACGATTGTATTGAGTAGAATATTCCACAATTCAAGCCATCTCCACTTGGATATTGATTTGCAAAATACCATTCTCGTTCGATCCAAAATGAAGATGTGAATTGTTTGATTAGAGAAGAAAAAAAGTTTGATTATGATAGACCGTGAAATTATACGAATGTTGAAAATCAAGAATATGTAAATGAATCATATGTGACAAAATTATTTGTTGCCATCGATTAGCATTCAAATATGCCAGATCATCTCCAGTAGAAATTCGTAAAACTTGAAGATGATGAAAAAAATGTCTAATTATTGGTTCAAATTCATCGAGTGTTATATAATCTAATCTAAGAGAAACATGTGTTAATTTATTGAACACTTTTGGAAATACTTGGATTTTTTTATGATCATAGCCATGTAAATGATCAATTGATAAACGACAAAGATGAGGAACATATGATAAAAGATTAGTAAATTGTTTAAGTCCAGCTAATTGAGCGATAAACAAATATTCGATAGGACTTGTTTCATGGGTAGCCATATCTAGTAGCCAAATATAACCGGTTACACATGATATTTTGCAATATTTCAAGTTGCGTATACTAAATATTGAAATGTACGGTATGTAATCCTTTGATAAACATTCTATTTCATTGATGATTAAGGAAGAAAGATTTCGCATCGATGATAAATGATATAGAAGATTTAGTGAATGCATATTATCGAGAATAAACATTTCGAGCTTATAGAACTTCTAAATATCTGCAAGAGATCCACAGATAATATCAAGAATAAATGGATTCCATAAATGAAGATAAGTTATTCGATTGACATTAGGCATAATAAATTCTGTATAATAACGTTGACAATTTTGTTTTGATAAACCTGACATATTGATTTTGATAGGAAAAGGTAAATAACGAAGAAGATTTCGACATTGCAAAGATCTTCAAAATTAGTGAAGGTTAATCTAAATGAAGGAAGGGTTAGATATTAAAACAATATAATTATGTATTACGAACGTATTCTGCTGGATTGTTGTTACTAAATAAATAGAACTAAGATATGATGAATAGAAAAATTACTAAAAGACTGACTTTGTAACTTTTTTTCTTCATTATTATCGTAATGGTCAAAATTACTATTGTGTTGTTGTGTGCGTCGATTCATATTGATATGATAAAAATAATTTAAACGTAAAAAAATAGTGCTCTATATACTTGAAAAATAAAGAAAATACGACTTGAACATGCAATAACATGACGTTATATTTGTTATCTATTTAAAGTTGGCAAAATAATTAACTTTTACCATGAGAGATGAAGTAAAACAAAAGAAATAACTATATATAGATCATATAAACGAAAACAGAATACATTCAAGACTGGATAAGAAAAAATGCATTTTTTCTTCATATAATTACATCTTATGAATGAAATTCGAATTATTATGTGAATAACGTCATCTATTACTCATTACTAATAGATTCTTTTATTTCAAATAGTATTTCATCACTTTTTCAAGATAAAAGTTTTAGTAACAGCCATTATAGATAAGAGGCCATCCATAAAGGACATCCAGGTTAGGGAGGGGAGAGGGGGTCGGGCGATCTTGGACGTCCAGGAAGTCATTAGAAAATTTTTGTTTTTGTCTATATTCTTCGAGAAATTTCGAAACTTAAATTATGGTAAATATCATATTTTGTTATCAATTAATTGGATGTAAACATAGAGTTGAAATAATTGAAGATTATCCTATATCAACAGCCGGTTATCTAAGAACTTCGTTTTGTTTTCGAGTATCATGAGTACTGAAAATGTTTCTTTTTTATACTTCTACTATTTGATGCTCATAGAAGTAAAATTTATTTAAATGCCAAAACGTTTTCAACAGATTATATTTTGTGTAATATTTATTTATGCATCTCTGCTTTTGATTCAATTATTTGATGAAAAGGTTGTATTCGATGAAAGATTATCTTGGATTTCGAGAAATTCTGATTTATTATGGATTAGTTTCAGATCTTAGATTATACGAAAAGCTCGAAATGATCGCTTCAAAATAGTCTACTGTAAAGCTCGATCAATCTTCTGGATCTTTGCTACATTTCGGTTGCTTTTAGCAAGTTGCTACAAGATGAATATGCTTCAATAGTATCAATGATCAGTTGACGATCTTAGAGCGATTTCCATTAGTGATGACTAACTCCTCAGAGTACTTGTTCTCCTACACAAAGCGGTCTCTTGATTCTCAGAGCATCCCGTGATTCATTTATTAATAATTATATCGGTTGGTTGCCATAACCGTTTTATAGTTTATCACCAAGTCCGAATATGACCTATTTGTCTGAAAATTCCTTTAGGTTTAGTAATAAATTGCTCCCTCGATCTATGATTGAAGGGGTGAAATGTCAAGTCAAGGTTTTGACAGGCGTGTTCAAGGTTAGTCTCAGTGTGGGTGTAGGTGTGGGTGTGTATGTTTTATTCTATAACACCCACACCCACACCCTTCCTTGTTGGATATTGATGCTGAACGCCGTAAGAATAAATCATTATTAGAAATGTTTAATTTCTAGTGTAGACTAAAAAGAATTTTCGCCATTAGTGTCTTTTTCTTTGTCTGTACGTTGTAGTACATACTCATTATTGACTTTGTTTTGTTAGAGATATGTTTTAAAATGGATTCAGAGAGATCAAGAAGTTCTGACATTAGTTAATAGGTTTATTCGCATCTATATTTTTGTTTTACCATTCGATGCACTCTCTCTATTGCTTGGAATGTATATTGCAAGTAGTGGAAAAACTGTACCTCTCGTCATTATCAACATGATCGAAAATGCAATCAATACCTTATCGCACCACATTTGTCTCTATCATCTTTATTTGGGAATTCGTAGCACACCAGTGTCAATGATTATTGCATATTGTTCTATAGTACTATCTGCAATCATCTATATTCGTTATTCGCCGATCTATATCGAAGCTTGGAGTCCTATTGGTCGCAAATGCCTTCAAGAATGGAATGTTTATCTGAAACTGGCTATACCAGGCGTATGGATAGCTATGTAAGTCAGTGGTGTACTAAAATTTGAAAGAAGAAGGCCAATACTCTTCATTCATTTTTCGAGATTCCATTCAAAATTCATTAGAACTAGTCATCTTTTATGATTTTCTTTCTGATGAAAATAAGCTTATTGAAGATTGTCAAATAATTTTTCTCACTGTTCTAAGCTCGATGTTTGGTCTTTTGAAATGAGTGTCTTCTTTGCGGCTCGACTCGGTCCTCGATTACTTGCGGCTCAAGTAACCATTCAACAAATTTCATTATTTGTATACTTAATTATGGTATCAGTACGTGACGCCGGTGGCATTCTCATTGGAAAATATCTCGGTGCAAACGAACCATTAAAGGCAGTCAATGTTCAAAATGTTACATTTACAGTGAGTGAAATCATGCTAATCATCAATACGATTTTTGTTCTTGTAAACTGTCCTTGGCTACCAATTATATTTGAAACCGAAACAACAGCTCACTCACTTGCCAGGAATGGCCTCTTACTTAGTTCTCTCTATCACATATTCGATGGTTTGAGTACCATTCAAAATAGTATACTGAAAGCATGGTAAGTGGCAGTAAAATTGTAACAAAAAGGCTGATTTGAAAGTGCCAAAACTCGTTCGAAATATACAAAATCAATTTAATTTTGTTGCCATATAATATACACTAGCCAAATCCGTGTATACTATACTGATGTTCTTTATTTAAGTACTGTTCTTTAACTGTTGCACTCTGGCCATGTATTCTGTATCTCTGTGTAAATACAATGCTCTGCTCTTTCATATGTGTTTCTTATGAGATGCTATTGTCTGTAACTCTTGATTCCATATAACTATTCTGTGCTGTAGTTTTCTTATGAGATATACTGTTTTTTCTACTGTTCGAAGAGCATAGAATTCATCTCAGTAGTGTACCCATAAGTGGGCCTGGAGGCTGTGCCCTTGTGCTCATAAACAACTCGATTCCTTTCCTCTCCATCTCTCCGTTAAGAAAAACTCTGACTATACCATTATTGCACCCGCTAGGTTGCTGTTTCAAGAAATTACACTTTGATAAAGAGGCATCAGATAAACATTTAACCTTTGTGCTAGAAGGGACAAACAAACAGACACCTATGTTTTATTATAGAGCTATGTGGGCATTTCTTAGAGTGTTTATTTATCTAATTTTCGACAGAAATAGGAATTAATTACTTAAGATCGATGTAAGCAACGAAAAAATATGTAATTGAACTAACAACTGAACTGATATATCAAATACGAATAAAAAACACAGTATTGTGTTTTAGTAGACAACAAATATATGCAGCAATCGTTTCATTTATTGGTTTTTATATAATCGATCTTCCTATGGCGTATATCTTCATGTTTATTATACATATGGATATTTATGGCTATTCGATTGGAATGATTGTTGCTAGCAGTGTCATTGCTGGTATTCTATTTGTATTTATTTGGCATCTCAATTAGAATGCTACAGCACAAATAGCAATTGATCGTATTCATTTCGACAAAACGTTAGAAGCAGTAACGAATACTTCTTTGCTTACAACTCTACCGTTGACATAGACACAGAACAATCCATAGAAATGTTGTCATTCCAAGATAATGAACATGACGAAATAAACGAATATCTAGACACAACAGTACAAATTCAATCAAATGAATTCAAAAGAGACATGTATAAAACAACAAACATGAAATACTTGTTAAAATTGACTATTTTGATCGTTTTTATTTGTGCTTTTGTTATTAGTTTTGTTATATCTAATCAAAGTTAAAAGTATCAATCAATACGATTAAATTTTCACTTTTAAAACACAAACAAAATCTTTTTTCTCTCATTGACGAGAAAAACATGCAGATTTACATTTTTGGGTGTGGGTGTGGGTAATGTTTTCTTTTTGATCACGCTTGTCGAAGGTTATCAGTAGAAATTCATTCATATTTCATTTTCTAAATTTAGATAAAAAGTTTTGCATTCAAATAGGGTATCGGTCTCAAATTCAAGGACCTAGATTTAGCTTTCCCCGCAGTAGAACAAGCATCAGCTTCCGTTAACTCGGTAGTTTTTTTGCAAAATGATTTCAAAAAATCATCAAAAACGCAGTTGGACATGCACAATAAAAAAAAAAGACATGTAGTTTTGGTTCTCCGTCAGAATTAAAGTTCCATTATAAACTGCGCAAAAGCTTGTAGGATCATTGAACAAAAACAAAGAAAACAAATCTTTTCTTTCCTTTCTGTTTCTATCCGAACAATCGCACGAAATATGAACGCGGTTAATAGAAGAAAAGAATACGAAACTAAGTCATGAGATTGTTCTTTTTCTAAAATACGCGACTACTTTCAAAATAAGTCAATGGTGGACGAGAAAAATCAAACAGAGCTAACATTTTAGGTGTTTCTCATTAAAATAGCAAGCAACACCCGGAATAGCCAACTAAAAAAAAGAACAGAAAAGCGTTTTTCTTTTCATTCTGTT